GCAAAATCCCTTCACAGTTGCTATGGCATGTAGCCTAATCACAAGAGTGATATCCCTTCATATTCACTTTTTTGAGGTATAATTGATGTACAATTAAGCTGTATATGATTAAAATGTACAATTTTATGAGTTTTGACATATGTATATGACACCATGATACCAATACTATGTAAAATGAACATTTCTATAACTTCCAAAAGTTTTATTGCAGATAAACCTCCTAGGAATGTTTATGTACAAATCTCTGTGGACAACTAGGAGTGGATTGAGTGTGTTGCATGGCAGGTACATGTTTAACTTTTAAGAGACTACCAAATTGTTCTAAAGTAGTTTCACCATTTTAAATTCCCACTAGCATTGTGTGAGAGTTCTAATTGTTCCACATCCTTGTCAGCACTTGGTATGATCAATCTTTTTAATTTTATCCATTCTTGTCTGTAGCGGTATCCCATTGTGGTTTTAATTTGCAATTCCCTAATGACTAATGATTTTGAATATCTTTTCATGTGCTTTTGGCTGTGTATCTTTCTTCTTGGTAGAGTCTATTTTGGTACTCAGTTTTTTAATTCAGTTGGTTGTCTTATTATTTAGTTATGACAGTTCTTTATATATGCCAGATACAAGTTCTTTGTCCCTCCATCTCTATTCTCTCATTCTAGGACTCTAATCACACACATATATTAATCTGCTTAATGTTTCAAAGATTCATTTTTTTTCAGTCTTTTTTCACTCTGGTTTCAATTTGTGTAGTTTCTATTACTATGTTCTCAAGTTCACTATCTTTTTTCTGTAGTGTCTAATTTGCTGGTAACCCCACCTGATGCAATTTTCTTCTCAAATATTAACATTTTCATCTCTAAAAGTTTTATTTGAGGTCTTTTTTATATTTCCCTTATTTTTCTCATATGCTCATATTCCTCTACCCTCTGGGACATATGGATATGTCTTATAATTGTTGTTTTAAAACATCCTTGTCCACTAATTCTGTCATCAGTCATTTCTAGGTCTGTTTAAAACATTTTTCTCTTTGTTCTGAGCCATATTTTTCTGGTTCTTTGTATGCCTAATAACTTTTTTTAAATCAGATTCGAGACATTCTGAATTTTACCTTGTTGGATGCTAGACTTTTGTATTTCATAAACTGTTTTGGACTTTGTTCTGGGATGTAGTTAATTTTCCTGAAATGAACCTAAAGGCTTGATTTAAAGCTTTGTTAGGTGGACCCAATAAAAGCCTAATGTGGCCCCTCTAAGAGTCAATCCCCTCTGTGGATTCTTCTGGATGCTCCAAGTGGTAGGAAGTCTTTCCACCCTAGTTGGTGGGAATAAATACTATACCCAGCCATCTGTGAGACCCAAGGGCTGCTCTGCTTGCTTCCTTCTGGTGGTTTCTTCCCTAGCCTCCTTAGTTTCTTCACTCACATGTGTGCATCAGTATGCAGCTACAGGCCTGAGGGGATTCTTCTGCAGTTATCCAGAGCTTGCTCTCCTGGGCTATCCTGCTATATGAATTCCAGCTGTCTTGGCCTCCACCAATTCCAAACTTGGGGGACAGCCAGGTTTTGATGGGGTTTCCCCCTACCCCTTGCCCCCATTCTGTCACAGTATAAGCTAGGGCAATCATGAGGCTCATGGATATTTTATACTGGGTTATAATCTAATACTATACTGTTTGTTTTTTTGCTCAAATGATTTCATCTTTTACCATTTTACCTTTTCCAGGATGGCTCCCTGGTCCTTTTGATAGACCCTGTCATTTCATTTTCTTGAGCGCTGCAAGACGTACTACAAGGTGATCTCTGGCACTACAAGATGCTCCAGGGTCATCTTGTATATTATCTGTTCCATCTCTAGTATCAGCCATTTCTCCCTGTTTCCTTTTATTAGATAATGAAAAAGCAAATTGATGGAGTTACTTGAGCTCAGATAAAAACTCACAATAATTCCCTAAATTCCCTATTGATCTACATACTTTAACATACAATGTTGATATATATTAGAATATTTTAAATGACATGAAAATATGAACATTTAAAAATGACAAAATTATACAGTTGAGAACAGATGCCCTTAATTATAATTTAATTCAGCAATAGGGCAGCTTCCCAAAAAATCTGGTTACTTATTTTAGTCAGTGTGTATTAGGATACAAAGAGTTTTATTTTGAAATTTAAAAAAATAAACTTTTAAAGTAAATGATTATTGAACATTAACTTCATATGTAATTTAAAATAATGTCATTTCCATGTTGTAGTTACATTAAATAAGAGTAATTACAGGATACTGTTATTAAATAAATAATTAATTTGAAGCAAACTCCTATACTTCTAAGTAATGTGTTTTAAAAGTATTTCACATTTTTCATATCTTGTTACTGATCTACATCCTTTGGTGCTCTTAGTGGTCACAAGCCCCTTCATACTCCTGACAGTTAATAATAATTGTTCCTGGCATCAGGATTAATCCTAAACCCACACTAGTTGACTACTCTGAGCACCACAGGTCCACAAGGAAGACATAAAGAGCATTAACAGGAAAACCAAAGTACACTTGCTCAGTTGTCCAGAGCCTGTTACAATGGATCTCTAAAAGAGGGCTGTGTTTAAATATGTTTACCCCCATCCAGCTACTTTTGACTCAGTCTCACCAAATCTCAAATATTGTTTATGATCCTCCTTGATTCCCAGGAAGTATACCCAGTGACTTCAGCCCATCCTCTTTTTCATGTTTCATAAGACATAAGTAGTATCTTCCTTTTGGACCTTAACTACAGCCTAAGGTGTACTTTATATTTCTTTTATTACACTTAGTTCCTTGGTTATTATTTGTTTTCCTAACAAGTTACTCAAAGCCTATAATTTATAAAGTTCTTTTATTTACCAACCCCAACTCAGCCTTCTTAGGCTTCTAATATTTAATTGAACATTTACTGAGTAAAATTGATATTCAAATATGGGGTTACTTATGACTTAAAAGATATGTGGCTTGCAAATTTTGGCAAATATAAACATTGAATTCAGTATTTCAATTAGGAATCATGGTTCTGGTCATTACGATCTATGTTCTTTAAGCCATTAGTACTTTCTGAAATCAAATATGAATTTGTTTGTTTGTTTTTGGACACTGTCCTAGTTTACTTGTGCTGTTGTAACAGTGTCCAAAGGTAGGTGGTTTAAAAGAACAGAAATATATTCTCTCAGTTCTGGAAACCTGACATCTGAAATCAAGGTGTCAAATAGGGCTGTGGTCCCTTTGAGGTCCTAGGGAAGAATCTTTCCATACCTTTCTCCTAGCTTCTGGTGGTGACCAGCAGTCCTTGGCATTCCTTGGCTTACAACCGCATCACTCAATGTCTGTCTCTGCTGTCACATGGCTTTCTTCCCTGTGTCTTTCTGTGTCCTCTCCTTTTCTTACAAGGACACCAATCATATTAGCTTTAGGAGCCATCCTAATCCAGTATGACCTCATCTTAACTAATTAAATCAGCAAAGATCCTATTGCTACAGAGCACATTCTGAGTTTCCCAGTGAACATGAATTTGGGGGAACATTATTCAACCAAGTACAGACCCCTTTCTATCACCCCTTTTCCTTTCTTCTTAGAACTTTAATCAATTACAAGATAAGCAATGAGCTGGTTGTATTCTTACTTGCTTTTGATGACCTTTTACAAACCGTTCCTTATGTTTTTCTTAGCATTCATGAATTATAAGATCATCAGTAACTCATGAAGATACATTATGTATTTTAACCATGCTCATTAGCCAAATTTCATGTATTTTCTTGGACTTTTTGCTTGTATTCTTTAATTATTCTGCTCTTTTTGAGCTTGCATGAACTGCAAAGGTCAGTCAATGCATTTTTCATCACTTATAATGTATTTTTTTGGTTTCATTTTTAACAGGCCTTTCAAAAAATGGAAATATCTCTATCAACCTATTCTTTTCTCATTTTTAAAACAATTGGAAATCCTATATGGCTGTATTTTTTTTTGATGCAGTTATTTACAGTCATCTGACAAAACTTCAGAGAACAAAGTCCAATGAAAGAAATGTGAGATGTAAACAAATGTCATAAAAATGGCAACGTCACTCCTGCATCAAATTGAAGCGTGAATGTGACTGGTAATGCTTTTTACTAACATCCTCATTGTTGTAGGCCAAAAATGGACCTCCAAGTCTCTTCAGGTAAATCAATGAACTATTTGGGGAAATCACATGAAAAAAGGATCCATGATCGCTGTGGACAGTGGACTGGGAGGGAGTAAGAACAGGTGTAGTTAGAAGGCTTTTAGCATACTGTCATACTGTAGAGTGACAGTAAGCACAGGGACCAGCTGAGCCTGGGCACAGAAAGTGTGTTTCCTGATCCTGTTCACAAGGAAAAGCTGCACAAAGACTAGTGGGCTCTGACCATCACTTTATCCCCTCCTCCTCCCTTGTGGAGAAACAAGAAAGGGGATGTTGAAAAACTGAAATGGAATCGCTAATATTCCTGACTGGGGAGAGAAGAAAAACCCTTCTTACATTCCGTTCATCTGTAGGGACTATCATTTCTGTCTCTAAAAAAATACCTCAAGTCTAGCTTCCTCTCCTCCACCTTAGGCCAAAATCTTTTTCTTTCTCATTTGGATTACTGCAATTCAGGTCTTAGCTGCCTAAATCCAGAGAGGATATATGAAGTCCCATGTATAGGGTATTTGCCTAGAGATTAATCAGTGATGCTATCTTGTTTTCATTTGACAATCTGTTCTTTTGTCTCACCAGTCAGGACCTTGCAAGGAAGAGCATTGGCTCACGGCCTGAACACCAGTCAAGCAGATACTTGAATATGCTCTCAGCGCATGACTAAACGTTGCTCTCTCCTCCCTGTCACATGCAATAACTTGGCATTAAGGCAGAACCCAGATGTTGTATTCTGGGGCTGATAAACATCTCATCTTACTCCATCACTGGAACTTCTTTCTCCATCCATAATGTATCAACTTGATAAGTATGTATACTTACTCATTGCTGCATAACTATTTGTGGTTTAAAACAAAAGTAAATGTATGATTCCATAGTTTCTGCAGGTCGGGAATGCAGAAGCAGCTTAGGTAGCTGCTTCTGGCTCAGATCTTCCATGAGGTTTTTGTGAAGATGTTGGCTTGACAACATCAGTCATCTGCAGGCTTGGCTGGGATTGAGGATCTGCTTCTAAGAAGGCTCCCTCACATGGCAAGTTTTTTGGCTGTTGGAGGCCTCTGTGTCTCACGACATGGACCTCTCCTTAGGGCTGCTTGAGTGTCCTTTGTATATAGCATCTGACTCTGCACCACCTTAAAAATCCAAGAGATCCCAAGTGTGAAAGCCACAGTGCTTTTTATAACCTACTCTTAGGATCCACACATCATCACTTTGGTAGGACACATTCTATTCATTAGAAGCAAATCACTAAGTCTGGCCCACAAGGCAAAAGAGGTATCTTCACTTGTTCCTGTAGAATTACTGGCATGGGAGATAGGATAGATGCCTCATGTGTTTCAACTTTGAGTACTGTGACAAAGTTGTAAGGTATGCACCTAGATAAAATGGCGAAACATGACACAGATGGTGGTATAATTAGATGGATTTGCAGGCATTTGGAAACTGTTCATCAACACAGCAATCTGGCCTCTGCCTACTCCCCAACAGCTTCCCTAATCACCCCAAACCTTGTTGAACTACCCACAGTTCCCCAAGTGTATCATAGTCTCATATTTCTGGCTTTGTAAACACTAGTTCTCTGCCCAGATCTGCTCTCTTCCACTCATTCCTACTCATTCTTTGAACATAAACTTTGGCAACTCTCTTGGGAGGCCGTCTCTTTCTCCCTGACTTAAGCTCAGGCTGCTACAACAAGTACCATAGACGGGGTGGCTGAAACAGTAAATGTTTATTTCTCACAGCTCTAGAGGCTGGGGAGTTCCAGATTAAGGTGCCAGCAGACCCTGGGTCTCGGAAAGGCCTGCTTTCTGATTTGCAAATGGCCTTCCTGTATTTTCACAGGGTGGAGAGCAGAGAGAGGAAGCAAGCTCTTGTATTTCTTCTTATACAAGCTCTAATGCTATTTATGAGGGTTCCACCCACATGACCAAAAGACCTCCCCAAAGCCCCACATCCTAACACCAGCACGACGGGGGCTAGGATTTCAACATATGAAGTTTGGAGGAACACATTCAGTCCATTACACCCTTCAAGGCTGAAGTGAGGGGCGCCCTTTGTGGTACCATAGGTATGGTTTCTACCGTGGACTGCAGCCCTACATTACAGTGGCCCTGTGATTCCATCCCAGTGGTAAGCTACTTGAACACCATGTTTGTCTTGTTCATCGTTGTGTCCCTAGTACCTAGCACATTACATGATATATAGTTGTCTGATGACTCATAATGTAAATGCTCCGTTACTGGCACCCTTACTACTTCTTTTCAGAACTTACTAATGCTTTGCCAAACATAAAAGAAATTTAACAAAAATCTCTCCTCAAAGATAAAGGAGAAAGTTGTATTCAGTAATAAAACCAGAATGTCACGTGGATCACAGGAAAGCCAGAAAAGAACTAGCAAAGACAGAAAGAAATCTCACCCATTTATCCAGCCAAGCAAATGCCACGCACTACAGTCATGCTCCCAAGATAAATGATAACTAATTCTCAGGTAAGAGGACTAATTGCCTTCATATAAAGGAAAAATTAATTTCTCATGTCTTTATGACAGAAAGTAGTTTGTAATTTGGTGCCAGGTTCCTGCTGAAGTTAGGCTTCTATACTCCCAGGAGATTGGGAGGTGGGGGTGCTATCTTCCTTGATGATTACATTTCAAAGTGATGGCTCTGGGTCCCATTTCAAAAAGAAATTGCTGGATTGTAAAATAGGCAAGAGGCTTAGTCTTCAAAAGGGTTTACATACATTTCAAGAGGCAGAGAAAGCCTACAATGACAAGTTTTCCAGAGTAAATGCTCTCTTTTTCTTTCCTTTGCACCAGAGAGAATGATATATTTTTTTATTTTTCATTTGTTTTTTACCCTTACACCAACAGCATCAACATCACCTAGGAACTTCAATTAGAAATGCAGATCCTCAGGTCCCAATCCAGACCTACTCAATCAGAAACTCTGGAGATGGGGCCTGCAATCTGTGTTTTTAAATAAGCACCCTAAGTGATGCTGTTGACTGCAAGACATTTGCAAAAGATCTAGGGAAGATGAGGGATTGAATCTACTTGAATTAACAGTGATCTGCAAGTTGCACTACATAGGGAGTCATCTGCCATACTAGAACATTAACTTTAATTAACTGGCAAGAAATTACAATGTCCAAAATAAAGATATTACCTGAACCTTACTTAAGCCAAGACAGTCAAATTTTAACAACTTGCATAATAGAGGGAAATAAAAGTGATTTAAAAAATTATGGTTATTTGGCTCTAGAGTGCATTCTCTAATTTAGTATGAAAAGTTGTCCAATTCTCTGGTAAAGCACAAAATGCCCAAATTAAGCAAAGCCACACAAGCCAAATTCAAGAGAAACTAGACGTGATTTTTTTTCTGTACATGGACCCCTTCTACAGTTCACCTGGCTTTCTACCAAGGGTTCAAATCTATCCTGATCAGTGTTCCTCAGTTTTAGATACAAATGGGAATCACTGGAGGATGAAAGGGCACATGTCCCAGGGAGATTTTGAGAGCAGTAGGGGAGGGAGGAACAGCAGATTCTCTGGGTCCTTCAGTTAACAGTCTGGCCAGCACACTGCAAACTGCGCTCTGCGCTCTGCAGTCGTCAGTGAACTTGGGCCTGAGGGACACATATTCACATTACTTGTGCATGCTCAGAATTTGTACCCATTTCTTTGAAAGACCTGCAATTAGACTGTAAACTATATGAGGGTGAAGACTGTATTAGCTCTGTGCTCTAGAGTTAATCAAGATCAAGAAGTGTTTTTGCTATCAAGTTATCAAGATCAAGCATACTGTTGGTGAATTTTGAATTGAATAAAATTCTAGAAAAAAATTCTAGTTCTTAAAGGCAATATAAGTCGTTGTAAGATGCTTTTTCAACATCTTAACGCTACCCAGCACGTAACCAAATTGTTAGCTGATTGTTTTGATAAAGCAACATGTAGACCTGTTTTTTAGTCTTAAATTCTACATCACTACATTTAAGCTCATTGGTGTGAAATATGCATTGACCTACAAATCTGTAATGTGATTAAGAAAATGCAAACTTGTACATGTACAAGGGAAGATTTGTTAGGTTATAGCATTTTGCAGTTTGTTGCAAATTGTAACGGATTTTCAAGCCAACAATTACTTAAGTTATTCTAAAACATCTTTAAAATTCTCCAGTTGAATGTTACTTGTTGATCCTGTGTATTTGTGTTAAGTCATCACACTAAGAACCGTCTACAGCTAATCCCCTATTATTAAACTCCTAAGTAGCGGTGGAAATTGGATAATCAGTTTACTTTCCTCAGTGAGGTTTCAGAGAAGGGCCAAAGGATAAAATGAAAACTGCTTTCCTCTTTGCTTCTCCTGTTGAAACTAGTCAGGATTGTAAATGAGCTTGCATTTCAAAATACCTTAGCCTTCATTGGAGGGAAGCTGCTATTGTTCTAAATGGTTAAATAGGACTTTGGAAATCTCATAAATTGCTGTTTAGGGCAACATTCACACAATTGTGTATCTAAAATACATAGGATGTATAAACTGTAATTTGTGGTTTTACACTGTGAGGTTTATTTCCCTTATGAGGTGATGGGCAGCAAGTTAACATTTGTGATGCACATGGCTTAGTGGAGTTGAACTCTGACTCCCTTGCTTACTAATCATGTATTCATGGGCCAACTTTCCTGAGCTATTAGCTCTTGTATAAAAACCTTCCAACATTGCCTATGAAGATACTTGTGTGTCTAAGTTCCTTGTAAGTACTGAATAAACCTTTTGCCTGAGGTTGGGGTAGGAGGTGAACAGACGAGAAAAGGAGAGCTTCAGAGACCCAGCTCAAGTTCCAGGCACAAGGGCTGAGATGGATTATTGGAGCAGTTTGGAACACCCTCATTTGTGTCTGCTTTGAAAAATAGATCTTTTATACCTCACATTTGAACCAATCCTTAAAGAAAGCCCTAATAATTTGGTTTCTGTGGCCACGGAGACAAAATAACCCTCATGATGCCAAGACTTCCTGAGCAAGTCCACCTAAAGCAAGGCTGATAGCATTTGATTTCTTAGCTCCGGATATTCCTTTGACAGACTCTCCCCCATGTCTGCGGGTGTGGGCCTGCCTCTGTCCACTGGTCTCATCATAGATGTCTGCAGGTTAGCCAGAAGAACCTGGAAATGGTAGTCAAAGCCACACAAATGGGGAACCTGGAATATAAAAGCAAATATGAAGAGTGACATGTGAAATGCCTGGTGAAGGGGGAAAATTATGGATTTTTAGGGACCATAGTCTAGGGCATGAAGGCAGCTCAGAAACAGCTTGCCAAAGCTGAAAGGTCTGAAAGAAAAAGATCAACTTACTATAGCTAAGAACTCCCTAAACATATCTTTCTGTGATCTTTCAAGGATTTGAGGAACAGGTGATTGAAGGGTAACCCATGATGAATGACTGAGGAAGTATACTGAGGAATAAATATTATGAATTGAAATGGAAGACCAAAGATACCAAGCTTTAAAGGCCCACACAGAAGAGATGCTTAACCTAGCAGATGAGGAAATTGCTCAGGTCCAGAAGAAGGCCCTAGTGGCATCAGGTCTTCTAGGTAAGCCTGATACAGGACCAGTTATACAACCATTCCCTGGAGACCATTCAGCAGACTAAAGAAAACTGATCATAATCTGTTATGACCCGATTTCAGAGGCAGGACCTGATGTGCAGGTCACTGACCAGTGATGGTCTCTCCTTCCTACTATCTCTCTGAGTAACTGTAAACAAGCCTCATGTACTTTCTCGTATTTTCTTTTAGTGGAGATCTAAGTGATCCTGAAAGCTTAAAAAACAAAAACAACAGAGAGATAGTTATAGAAAATTAAGTATGGGATATTTTGACTTATAAGTTACATTTTTTATGTTGTTTTACTTATTAAATGTTGATGCTCATCTTTCATTAGAAAGTTTTTGTATCCTCATCAAATATGTCCTTTTGTGAGGTTTACTGAAAAAAATTTTTGGTGCTCTATCTTCCAGATTTTGTTACTGTGGAAAAAACACTGCTTAGACATTAATAGTCAACAGGACCAAGATTAATTACTTTTGTTAGTACACAAAGGAGGCAGTGATGAATTTTTCTTAATATGAAGATACCTAACCAGGAAACATCAGGAAAATACTTCAGTGAGACTGTATTGATCACTAGAACGACAAAAGCATGGACATTTAAGGAAAAGTAGATATGAATTTTCCTTCCTGGAGGGTTTCATGAACTCCTTTGCTTAAAAGGCTTGAGCTTATCTTTTCTTCCCCTTCTTTGGCCCCCTAAGAGAATTTATTACATTCGGAACCAAATTTTACTGATCAAGTAATGCTTTTAATAACAAGAAAAACTGAGTACATAAAAGGTAATTTACAAAAAGTGAGACAGCTGATTTAAAATAAGGAAATAAAGCCAAGTGCATACAGCTCACAGAATGCATCCTCCCCATTTTTGTTTTCTGCCACAAGTTACACGCATCTTTAAAAACACTATCTTTACCAGATTCAGCAGCAAACATAAAAATTGCTCCAGCTGGATTTTGTCTCCTTTGTGAGCTGCATGTGTTTTTGACATGTATTTTTAAACTATGGGGTAAAAAGGGCCATAAAACAAGTAAAAAACATGCTGCATGTGTTTTTGACATGTTTTTTTAAACTATGGGGTAAAAAGGGCCATAAAACAAGTAAAAAACATGCCATTCTTCATGCATAAAAGCATTATTTATATAGACATTGGAATATGCACTTAGAATTTTTTCTCAGAACACAGTTGTGTTTCAGAAGACATAGTTTGTCTCAGTCATCTTTTTTTCCCTGTTAACACCAAATATTAGACATATGGTAATGAAAGATATATAGTTATAAAAGTAAATACATTTTCCACATAGGGTCCAGTGCTTGGATTTCTCTCACCAAAAAGGCACAATGTGTGAGACTGTTGTGGTTTCAGAACAGAAATGAAAAATGTGGGAAACTAGTTCCTGGGGGAGAAATGTCAAAATTTGGCTGCCAGGCACACGCTTAACTATGGAAACTGTTTCAAGACCTGAGCTATCCAAACCGGTGTCCACATAGTGTGACAAACTCGGGCACTTCTTAGGTTGTCCCTGATTTCAAAGGTGGTGAGCAGCACCCTTCAGAGGGCAGGGGGCAAGGGCATGAGCCTGGGTGGTCCGTTCAGTTTCTAACAGGTACCCTGCCAGTGGCTGGGTTGCTGGGCAGAGTGCAGTGGGAATGAAAACAACAGGCGCGACCAAGCTTCCAAGCAAGGGTCGTGCCCAGCAGCTGGGAACTGAGAGCTCTTTGTGAACCAAAGCCAGGCAGGACCGGATTTGTGGGGAGCTAAGTGGCCTGCGTCCCTCCCTCCCTCCCTCCCGACACCAAGGGTCCAGGCCCGGTAGTTTCTACCCATTCCTGCTAAAGGCCCCCTTCAGCCCTCGTACTGAGCCAGGACAGGGCTCTCCCTCTCAAGGTAGGGGACTACCCACTCCTCTGCCGCCTCAGTGAGGCAGCTGATTAGAAATGCCACCTTCAGGATGTCGCTGGAGAATCCGTCCTCGTAGAAACTCATGTATGAGGCTGATAGGGTCAAAAATACGGGAAGCCGGGCGGGGTCTTACGCACGTTTCGGGAAAAGCCACCGGGCAGGCCGGCGGACGCACCTGGACCAGCGGGCTGGCTGCATGTCCACGAGCACATGTTCTCCCTGCGCACGCAGGGCATGGTTCTGGGTCAGGAGGTCCGGCACCACCACTGCCAGGGTTGCCGCCACCGCGCCGCTCACCCCGGTTCCGTCCCAGCCCGAGGCGCCGGAAGTGCGTGTCAGGCTCGGGGGCGGGACGGGCCCCCCGCGATGGGCGGGGCGGCCTCGTGGACCGGGCCGCGCCTAGGCCTGAGGGCCGGTGCGCTGGGTCGCCAGGGCTAGTGCCGGAGAAGCGGGGCCTGGGAGACCTGAAGCCGGTGGGAGGGAGCAGGAGGAAGAAATTCGAAGCGGGGGACAGAGAGCCGCGCCGGGAGGGGGGAAGTGATTCCATGACAGCGAGCGCCTATTTCCGGCGGCCTCCCTCCGCGGGGCGGTCCTCAGGTGCTTAAAGGGGACGCGGTGGGTCCAGCAGCCTCCGTTTCCTCCGCCCCTACCGAGACGTGTAGGCCTCTAGTGTTTATTGTGTTTCCTATTCCTGGTTCTTCACGTGTTTTGTCCAAGACCTCATAGCTATGAGGAGGCAATTCTAATGAAGCCCTGCGTGCTTCCGGAATAGACATCCCGCAGGGGCTCCCAACCTGACAGGACTGGGGGCCGCAGCTCTTTCACGGGGAGTGCCTCTGGCACTCTCTGAAGCCCTTGCTGGTTTTGTTTTTCTTTTTTCTTGATTTCCGGATGACAAAAAGCAGTTCAGAGACTGTAGACTCGAACCCCCAACTCGGTGGAACAATGGGAGAATGCTTCCTGGGGGCCAGGTTTTTGAAGATGAACTAGAACTTAAGGTCGTGGGCAGGGTTTGTGTATAGGAAAGGACCTCGTCTTGATTAATGGTGGTGATTATTCATGAAAGGAACGTATGCCAGCTGGTCCAGTTCAGTCACTGTCTCCTGCTAACAAGGTTCTGCTCGGAACCCCTTCCTACCTAACCAGTCTCATTATTTTTCCCCATCAGTGTGATGTGCTCGCTAAAGAAAGCTTCCGTTTTGTGTGTGATTGCAGCTAGTAATTTGTTAAGTGATCTCCAGCTGCGTGTTGACTTCCTGATTGGAGAAACTCTACTAAGAACCACTCTCAGGCTCTGGAACCCCAAGTCTTTGTCCCTGTAGGTAAAGTGAAGGTTCCTGTGGTGGATTCTCACCTGGCGGTGGTCAGCTACCTCACCACACGTGTGGGGGGCAGTACCTCGTAATTGACTCTATATAAGGAGCACCGCCCAGTGCTCTGGGCTGCTGCATAGCTGCAGGGCTGCAAGACTGCAGGGGAGCAGAGAGGCCCAGAGGCAGAGACCGGCTTGCTGCATGTAGACTCGCTCTGAGTGAACGGGATTCTAGTGATTGACCTCCACCATGGGAAAAAAGTTGGGTATAAACCCTTTCACCCCCAAGAACATTCCATTGTTTTTCCTCGATCTCATTGAATATGGTGAACTTGATGGGGGCTGAAACCCATTGGCAAGACAGCACCCCTGTATCCAAACTTGAGGACTGACCCTGTGAACCCTCCTAGGCCAGAACCACCTGAAGTGAAGCTACTAGAAAACTGCAGACAGGTCATTGATATTAAAGGCCTAAGAAACTCAAATAATGTATCTTGATGAGTAGTAACATTTACTTGAAAGAACATAATTTTCTATTTTTTAGAGAGGAATGCTGCTAGAAGCTTCCATTTGTCATTTACGTAGCTATGGTAGGTTTTGATTTTGACTTGCTTGATTTTTATTTGGTATTTTAGCGTTGGAGACTTTTGTATTAGTAAAATAGTGTACTTATGAAACTGCAGGTCATAAATTGTGTTAAAACGCTTTCAAAAGCAAAATATAAAACTAGATGCATTCTGATATCGATTATTTAAACTATGTTACCATGAGAAAGAAAATATACAACAAAAAAGTGGTTATCTTTGGATGGTACAAATTTTACTTTATGCCTTTATTGTGGAAAATTTTTACTGTACATATCTCTGGATTTTTGAAGTGACTATGGATTTGATAATTAAGAAAAAATACAATTTATTAAGATGAAAGAAAAATTAAGAAAATACAAAATAAACGTTTTCAATTTTTAACCTATTAGTTTATAAAGAACATTTTGGAGACCACAGAGGTTGAAATCAAAGCTTAACTCAGACTGCATTTCAGATCTCAGGCTTTGTTTTGAAGAATACGTAGTGTTACTACATTCCTTTATAACTAGACATTAATTTTTTGTTGAGGAAAAGATTACTTTTCATCATAACCAATTCATCTAGAAAAGGAAAGCCATTTACTGAGTCAGTATAATTTATAGAATTTCTATGGAGCTTCAGATAGCATCAAAATGTCATTTAAGGATTCAAAACCAAAATGAACTCTTAATTTGTCCTCAGTGTGAAATATAAAATTCATGAACCCGAATACAAAGCTGGGCAGACATGCTGAAAATACTCAGGATTTGCATGTTATTAACTAATAATAACCATATATATCCTTTTGCATATATCATACATTACAGAATACTTTTTTAAAAACAACATTGCCAGACTTATGAGTGATGCTTAATAAATATTTATGTATTTAAGTTATGAGGCTTAATAAACTAAACACTCCCACATCTATGACCCAGATTAGGGTTTAGATTGTTGAATTTATTGTGTGGTATTTCTTATCTCATCTTTCCCAAGTTATTCAGTATCTTGAAATTTGTGTTAATGACTCTTTGGTCTTTTAAAAAAATAGTTTTATATTTATCTCTCTGTATATATAGATCTTTTTCTTTCATTGCTTATTTCTGAGATTTATAAAAGTAGTATCAGACTGCTTTACATTTCTTCAATGCTTCACTAATTCAAGATTATGTTTCTTCAAGTTGTATCATTCATGCAGCAGTAGTTAATTTTTTTATTGATATATAATACATATCATGTCTATAATATATATCAATATAATTCAAGATTGTTTTAAGTTGTATCATTCATGCAGCATTAGTTTATTTTTTATTGATATATAATACATATGTCTATAATATATATCATATATACATTTAATTTAATTTATTTATTCTTTTTATTGATATGTTGATACCACCATATAAATATACTATAATTCATTTGCCCATTTTCCTGTTAATGGATATTTGGATTGTCTCCAGAAGCTTGCAATTGCAAATGGTGATGCAGTTATTCTTGTGTATGCCTCCTGGTGCACATATTAAGAATTTCTCTAGGGTTATATTTGGAGTGGAATTATTAGATTAGAGGGCATGTGAATATTAAACATTGTAAGATAATGCTACATTGTTTTCTAAAATGGTTGTACAAATTTATACTTTCACCAACACTTGTTTTTTTCATACCTCTTACATTTGCCAATGTAATAGAAGAAAAATTATATCTAAGTGGCTCTTTTAAGTTTTCTTTATTACTAATACGTTTGAACATATTTTCATATATAATTTTTCCATTTATGTTTCTTATTTTGTGCCATGCTTATTCATGCATCTTACCCATTTTAGGGAGTCTGCTTTCTTCTGTTATTGACATATAATTGACATACAATATTCTGTTATTTTAGGTGTACATCATAGTGATCTGATTTTTTTTTTACATTATGAAATGATTCCTATTGTAAAAAAAAAAAAGAGATGATCCCCATGACAAGTCCAGTTAGCATTTGTCACCAGAACAAACTTAATACAATATTTTGACTATATTCCCTACACTCTACATTATATCCCCATGGCTTACTTACTTTAAAACTGGAAGTTTGTACCTCTTAATTCCCTTTACCAGGTACACCCATCTCCCAAACTCTCCCTGTTCTGGTAAACAACAGTTTCCTGTATAGATGAGTCTATTTTGGGTTCATTTTCTTTGCTTTGTTTTTTACATTCCACATGTAAGTGAAATCATGATAATTTGTCTTTCTCTAATTGACTTATTTCACTTAGCATATTACAGTCTAGGTCCATCCATGTTGTCATAAATGAAAAGATTTCATTCTTTATTGTGGCTGAGTAATATTCCATTGTGTATATATACCACATCTTCTTTATCCATTCATCTATTGATTGACACGTAGGTTTCTTCTATATCTTGGCTATTCTACATGATGCTTCAGTGAGCATAGGGGTGCATATATATTTTTGAGTTGGTGTTTTAATTTTCTCCAGATAAATATCCAGAATTGGAATCACTGGATTTTATAATAGATCTATTAAAAAATTTTTTTCTTTAGGAACCTCTATACTGCTTTCTATAGTGGCTGCACCAATTTAAATTCCCATCAAGAGTGTAGGAGTGTTCCCTTTTCTCCACGTCCTCACCAACACTTGTTATTTCTTGTCTTTTGGATAGTGGACATTCTGACTGGTCTGAGGTGATACCTCGTTGTGGTTTTAATTTGCATTTCCCTTTTGATTAGTGATGTGGAGCATCTTTTCATGTGCCTGTTGGCCATCTGTATGTCATCTTTGGAAAAATGTCTATTCAAGTTCTCTGTTTTTAAATTGGGTGTTTTAAAAAAAATATTAACTTGTGTAAGTTTATGTATTTTGGATATTAATCCCTTATCAGTGTATGATTTGAAAGTATCTTCTGTTCAGTTGGCTTCCTTTTTGTTTTGTTGATGGTTTCTTTTGCTGTGTAAAACTTCTTTAGTTTGCTGTGATTCTATTTATTTTAGCTTTTGTTGCCCTTGCCTGAGGAGGCTGCTGCAAAAAGATATTGCTAAAACTGATGCCCAAGAGCTCACTCCCTATGTTTTCTTCTAGGGCTTTTATGGTTTCAGGTCTTACTTCAAGTCTTTAATCCATTTTGTTTATTTTTTTATATGGTGTAAGGTAGTTTTCCAATTTTATTCTTTGGCATGTAGCTGTCCAGTTTCCCTAGCACCATTTATTAAAGTAATGTCTTTTCTCCATTGTATATTCTTATGTCTCTTTTGTCATAGATTAGTTGACCATATAAATATAGATTTATTTATGAGCTCCTATTCCAGTCTATTGATTTATATGTCTATTTTTGTGCTAGTACTATACTGTTTTGATTATTATAGCTTTGTGGTATAGTTTAAAGTTAGGGAGAAAGATACCTCCAGCTTTGTGCTTCTTCCTCAAGATTGCTTTGGGTCTTCAGGGTCTTTGGTGGTTCCATACAAATTATAGGGTTCTTTGTTCTATGAAAAACACCACTGGTATACTGATGGAAATTGCATCACATCTTTAGATTGCTCTAGGTAGTACAGACATTTTAATAATATTAATTCTTCCAATCAGTGAACATGGTATATGTTTCCATTTATTTATGTCATCTTCAGTTTCTTCTGTCAATGTCCTATAGTTGTTTCCAGAGTACACGTCTTTCACATCCATTGTTAAGTTATTCCTGGGTATTTTATTCTTTTTGATGCAATTGTAAATGGGATTGTTTTCTTTCTGGTAGTTTTTTATTAGTATATGGAAACACAACAGATTTCTGTATAATGATTTTGTATACTGCAACTTTGCTGAATTTATTAGTTTTAATAGTTTTTTAGTGGAGTTTTTAGGGTTTTCTATATATAATATTATGGTAGCTGCAAATAGTGACAGTTTTATTTCTTCCTTTAAGATTTGGGTGCCTTTTATTTCTTTTCCTCACCTTATTGCTTTGGCTTGGATTTCCAATATTGTGTTGAATAAAAGTGGTGAGAGTGGATATTCTTCTCTTATTCCTGATTTTAGAGGAAAAGCTTTCAACTTTCCCTATTGAGTGTGAAGTTAGCTGTGGGTTTGTAATATATGGCCTTTATTTTGTTGAGGGGCATTCCTTCTATACCCACTTTATTGAAAACTTTTTGTTATAAATGAATATTGAATTTTGTCAGATTTTTGTCAAATGCATCAATTGAGATGACCAGATGGTTTTTCCTTTGTTTTGTTAATGTGGTGTATCATACTGAATAATTTGCAGATGGATTTCATAGAT